AATCGGGGGCTTTTTCACCCAGTTTAGGTACTTTTTACATCTCACTGTAGATGTGATGTTCAAACAGGTTAATGGCGTTCCTTGCAGCTGCGCAGTGAATATTATCTCTGCTGACTGCTATTGCCAGCAGGTGTTAAAAACCTCAAACAAAGCGAATCCCCTGAGGATTTTTCAGCAGTCCGTGCAGGATATAAGGTGAAATTAAAAAACAAAAAACAACATTATAAGCAGCAGATGTGGGTATATCTGTTACTACGCAAATATTAATCTCTGCTAGAATGTAGATTTAATCTTAAATTATTAGTGTTATTTACTAAACTGAGAATGGTCAGGAATTCAGTGAATTTCAAATCCAAGTAAAAAATTACTCTAATAAATAAAAAATTCTCCAAGGTATGAAAGGATCTCCCCTCCTGGACCATGCAGAGCGTGCACTATCGAGTCTCTGACCTTGTTGTGTGCCATCCCCGGCCTATGTGTAGATCAAACATCTCCCTCACCGGCCCACTGGCACTGGAGTGAGGGGAAAGCAGGATGAATGTTCCTTCTGTGACACAGCAGATCTGAGTTACCACGGCAATGCTCTGACACAGCGCCATGCCGGATCTTGCGAGAGGAGTGATCTGAGCCTGCATCACATGGAAGTGCAGGCTACAGTCACTCACCCCCACCGGATCACAAGGACTTGCAATATCCCCTCCCTGGAAATATGTAGAGGGGAAGGAAGAGGGGAAATAACGTTTTATTTTTGTTTTTTTAAATAAAACTAATAATTGAAATAAATAAAATGAATAATATTTGTAGTCGGGAACAAAGGCCGAGAATGAAATAAGTCGGTTGTGTTGTGCCGAAACCGACATTCGGGTAAGCCTGTATGAATAAAGAAAGCTCACCAAGTAGCTGTTTATTTATGGGGTGAAGGTGGGTGGGGTGAAATCGATTGCAGACAGCTCTGATGTGAGTGCTTACTCGGTATTTAAGCCGGGTAACCCCTCCCACAAATACAGGCTTTTAAGCCTTAATACTTCTGGTCGGGGACAAAGGCCGAGAATGAAATAAGTCGGTTGTGTTGTGCCGAAACCGATGTTCGGGTAAGCCTGTATGAATAAAGAGGGCAAAAAGGTTTCAATGAAAATACACACTTTATTGGACTGAACAATATATTATGCAACCAAACTTTTAAATGCTTGCGTTAATTCTAATTCAGGTTGTGGAATATATCTAACATATACCGAGGATTTCCATCTTCCTAGTTTTTTTTATACATTTTTCTTGACGCGGCTGAAGCCTCTCTATCCTAAATGAATGACCCGAAAATGTTGTAGGGTCCAAACCTAATTCAAAAAAACATACAACATGAATTTGGTTGTTGTTAGTGGTTGCTTGTATAAGTGTAGTAATGGGGTATTGTCTGGGGTATAGGCTGTGAAAGTCTGGCTATATTCGTTTAGGATCGATACCGGGCACCATTTGTTTCCTGTGGGGAAAAATGGGATTTCTACTGATGGACCTGTCTGGTTAGTTTTGCTGTGTTTGATGACTTTATAATGATCTCCTGTTCTAACGAGATCTGTGAATTTCAAATATTGTGGTGCTTCTGCTGTGGAACCGATGGTGAATTCACAGGGGCATAAGAAACCATAAAAAGTGATGTAGATGGCTGCTTTGATAATGGAATTGAGTGAGTCGAATTGAGTGAGTCGAATGGTTTGCTATCTAGTATGTCGGATAAGGCTCTGAATCCGGGGCCATCGATAGGTTGTCGTTTAGGTACTACCCGCTGAATACCTTTTCAGTATTTTTTTTTTTTTTTTTTATGGGATAAGAGGACATGAATGGTTTGTGGTCTGGGTAAAGAGTTAGGTATTTGTGTTGTATACCTGCTAGGTATAGTTGTATGGTGTTGTATGAGAGTTTAAGTGAAAGGTGGCAAAAGGTAGTGAACGGCACCATCGTATGAATGATGCTGGGATCAGATAGTCAGTGGTGAATCTAGTGAATAGTGTAATAGTGTAACTGGCACTCTCCCTATAACTGAGCAATTTAAGTGTAAACTCACTGTGACAGACCCATCTGTCTGGATTAAAAGTACTGTGTTCGTCTGCTTTGCTGGTTACATGAATTTCCCCATTCGTATGCTTTGTTTAAGGGAATGTCGTTTTTTGTCGAACAAAACTACCGAACGGACGGCCACCCAGAAGAGAAGTGTGCTGCTGGTTAACATATTGATTCCCATTAGAACGTTGCGGTTAACCACAGACACTTCTCAATTAAAACCGAATGCCGGGTGGTCGTCGTTCGTATGTCGACCACAAGGCGGCGGCCATTTTAACCATGCGAAAGACCAGCGGTGTTCGATTATTTAATGGATCTGAAAACTGACACTTTTTCAACCGAACACCGCTGAAGCCGTCGACCTCCCCTTCTCAATCGACAAAAGCATGCGAATGCCGGCCGTTCGGGAGATTCAACCACACGAATGGACTTAACCCAGATAGCCGTCCCATGGAGTCAATCGCATACCGAAGAACTGTAATAGACTTTGACTCCATGGCGATTGAACTATGCGAATGGGATCTGAGCGCTATTCGCCAATAATATGCACTCAGATCCAGGCTATCTGGGGATGTGTTACACGAATACAATATGTTCGGCAGTTATAAAGTTATATATTTTTATGTGTTTTGTGACTTGTATTTAAAATGTCGATTTGCCTCTGCTCGGGGAGATAATTGAATTACTTCCCAATTATCCCCCGAGCAGAGGGGAGGGAACTGTGATGCATGATGGGAATATTGTGGGGATGTGTGTCCAAAATGTCCCCATTTCTTTCAATAATTCCAGTCTCCCATTTGGTCCCCTAGAGGAGTGTCCACCAAGTGGGAGACCTGCATAAATACCGGGCAGGTAGCCCACAGTAAATCAGTTCGTGTTTTACCCTCAAAGCGGAGCTTGGTCTCGTTATTGGGGGGATTTTATTACCGGCGACTAGGGACTGCTTATTTGGATTATTTGCCGCTTGGAAGATATTGGCGTTCGGTTACTATTATCAGTTCGTGGATTTTGAGCTCGTGAAGGGAAAGAGCCGTACAGGTACCGTTCGGGAGTTTGGAGTGTTCCCTAGCTGGCGGTTTGCATGGTTTTACTATACCCGCTACCAGACCACATTATTGCGAACGGGGAGCATTCGCTAAACGGCGGTTTGTACATTTTATTACTGGAGATACCGTAACACTCACTAAATATACCTGGGTGCTTCCCAGCGCAAAGAAATAAAAAGTAAATAAAGGAGCACTCACAGGATTCCCCAAAAAGGTGTATACACGAATTTAAAGAAAAATTCAACGTTTCGACCCTGGTGGGTCTTTGTCAATATTGACTGGAGTGTCGAAATGTTGATTTTATACCAGTGAGCACTATTTGCTGGGGTTTTTTTCCATACAAATCTACCATGGTGACACACTGCTTTCAAGTTTGGAGATGCACACAATTTCTACTGCGATCAGATACAGATACAACTTCTGCCAAGGCCCTAGAGGACCACCACATCCATAGGTGGGGATTGTACCGCCCATGCACTACCATCTGGAGCTGATCTATAGCTCCTGAAAAGTGTGTTTTTATACTCATTTCACCAACTATCAGAAGTTACTACACTATATTGTTTTATCTTGGTTCTTTTCTCCACTGACCATCTCCTGGATTTATGACTATCTGCAAGGTGCTGCTCCATCATTTTCGTACCGAAATGTACTTTTTACCAGTTTCGGTTGTTTCTGCTGCGTACTAACACTCAGATCAGCGCTAGAAATCATTTATTTGTTTTATGGGGCTCAAAGAGTCTGGTTAAGCAGGGCTATATCTGCATAGTGCTATGGTCTCCTATATTTTAATATTATTGTTTCATTGTGAGTTAACACGATATCCTGGTTTCAATATATTTCTCAGTCCCAGCAGATAGAGACATACAGGCCAATATGACATCCCTTTCTCTATACTGTCTGCATGACTTCTCTCCGCCTGGTTAGCTAGGAATCAGGGCAAGTAATACACACAGCATCAGAATCACTCCCTGCAGGCAGGTTCCTCTGTTTCTATGGTGATTGAGATACAGTAAATCATCTCCATCTGTAATGATCTGTTTTATATAACCCACTAAGTCACTCATACTACAGCTTCACAGATTCACAAGTTTCCTTTCTTAGAATATCTGTCAAATATTAGCCTTGTACAGTGCTAACAATGTGTTCAATGTGTACAGATTTGATTTATACTGTCATTCAATTCACATTTTATTTTATTGATTTCATTTGATAGGATTATGAGGCATACTTTGAGATGTAGGAAATCTGTACCAGGTGTGGTCCAGGAAATTGAGACAGGGGGCTGTGCAAATACCAAAAATGAGTGGCCCTATCTAGAAATGAATATAAGGTGGTGTCAATGTGATATTAGTGCTGGGGAATATGCAGAGAATAGCAATCCCCAGTGTGATTACAACAGCTCCCTCCAATCACAAGACAAGGATACATTTAGAGGGATCAAGAAGAACTGTCTAAACCTTTATTTCCCTTGGGACTAGCCCATATGGTCATCACATTAACACTGCTGTGAAAACTCAATAAAATCACAAACAGTCAAACCATATCAGGCAACACACAGTGACTTATCACAATACAATGGCACATTTCTAATGTGGGGGAGACAATAACCAACAGAACATATCTCACGTGTCTGCAGAATTAGAAATATGCAAATATACCCAAATATGCAAATGAACCAGTCTTGCTATTCAGGTAGTGCATATTGCTGTTGCTACCAACAGAGGGCACTATACAAGCTCCATAGCCAAATCCACCTAGTTGGTAGCAAACCTCAGCAGTACAGGAGAGCAGGCAATACATTACACAGTACACACACACACTATAAACAATTACATTAGTATTTGGGTCCTGCATGGGTAGTTGGTGGTTTTTGACTTATGTATTTCTAAAATGTGTTCATTCCACTTGCTCTCCATTACTTCGCTGGAAACTGCTGGTCTGCTTGTTCCAGAGCCTCCAGTAGCTGCCCTCAAGGGCCAGCAGCTCTTCGTGAGTCCCCTGCTCCGTGATTTGCCCGCTTTCCAGTACCAGGATACGCTTTGCCTGCTGCACTGTGTGCATGCGATGAGAGATGAGCAGCACTGTCCGTTTCTGGGGATTATCATACAGGGCACTCTGAATATCGAGCTCAGTCTTTGTATCCAGGGAACTGGTGGCTTCATCTAGAATGAGAACCTTGGGATTCCTTACAAGAGCTCTCGCCAATGCCACCCTCTGCTTCTGCCCCCCAGAAAGCTGCCCTCCTTTCTGTCCAGCACCTGTCTGATATCCATCGGTTAATTCTGAAATGAAATCATCAACATGTGCTACTTTAGCTGCATCCTGCACCGATTTCTGGGGTACCTTCCCCAAGCCATAAGAGATATTGTCCTCAATGGTGCGGGACGTGAGAGTTGGTTCCTGGCTGACCACTGACACCTTTGTGCGGTAGAATTTGTTCTCGTATTCTGATATTGGTTTTCCGTCCATTAGAATCTTTCCATTCTTCAGTTCATAAAATCTGAGCAGCAGCTGCACCACTGTGGTCTTTCCTGCGTCACATTGACACACCAGAGCTGTCACTTCACCAGGGCACAGTTCAAAAGACACATCCTGCAGAGCTTGGGTATCTGGATATTTCGGGAATGAAAAAGTAACATTCTGGAACTGAACGTGCCCTTTGAGAGGGATGAGGGTGCCTTGTTTGGGCATCTGTGGAGTGCGGTCCATATACTCAAAAACCTTTTCTGAGGACCCTACAGCTTTTCTGACATCAGGGTACATTCTCAGTACACACACCCTGCACCTATAATGGGTACAGGGTGACTAAAACATAAGAGAAATAAAGCAACCTACATAAATAGTCTGTCTGAAGGTAGACAAGGGGCTTTAAAGCCAAATACATCAAAGAGTCATAGTCACAGGGGAGGAGGCTGGCAAGCAGGCCTCTCCAGGACCAAGTGGCGAAGGGCACTTCGTCACAGCATGTATATAGAATATTATAATATATAGATATACTTTTATCTTTGTAACGGATCACCTGGCACCCCGACTGGGTACCTCCGTCGAAGGATCTTCCTAGCGTTTCCTGGGGGCTCCAAGCACTCTGGCAGACACCACAATCACCGAACCAGAGAAGCGTATTCCTTCTCTCAAGCAAATGAATGCTATAACAGCTGAATAGGCAAAAACCATACGGATGGGTTTAGACTCCTAGCAGTCAAACTGGAACAGCATACAATAAATCCTCCCCCAACAATGAGACGACACTTCACTTTGAGGGTTAAGCAGGAACTCTAGGTTTATTCACACCACCTCCTTGTAAGACATTCTCCCATGCAAGGGAGGGATTCACAATAATTAGCACAACAGCCAATCCCATACCTGTTACCTCCCACACATCTCCTCCCCTTAGATTAACATTTAACATAAATATACAGTACACACTTTTCCCCAATTCTTGGATGTACCCCAAATATGGGGGGTACACCTTTAAATGTTACATCCTCTGGTAGCCCTGATCTGGGTGAGACACATATCCAAAAATCACCCAGTTCGGACCAGGGGTTCAGGAATTATGAAGGGTTAAAGCTTTAAAATTTTGGCCCTGCAGTCAGTCACAGAAAAGGGGATGAAAACACACAAATTGCCTGGGTTATAGAGCCTGGGGATGGTTTGAATGAATTCCCTTGTTCGTGGGGTTCTTTCTACCGAACGGCGGGCCGTTCTGTAGTTTCTGCACGAATTGCTGGAAGTCTGGAGGTCTCAGCGGTGTTTGCCTAGTCGAGTGTCCGATTTTAGTTCCAGACACTCGACGGCAAAACACCGCTGTATGGGAGTTTAAGATGGCCACCGCTACGTGTTCGTTTCCCGAATGGCGGCCACCCAGAGGACAAAACCACACATTACATAGATTGCCAATTACCCGTTTGCACACTTATTCCGGGATGGTCTGGTTGTTCGGTAGTTTCACTCAATATAATGAATGGAGTGATTCTACCGAACAATCAGACGAATACTGCATACACATAACACTGTTTACTGAACACATAATATTAAAGACAGCCTGAATGCAATCTGCTACACAGTCTTATAGGGCATTGTTCCTAAAAGTCATAATATGTCCACGGGTGGCCCTTAAAGGGCCAGTAGCAGCAATATAAAATACCACATGCCCAAATATTGCATTCAAAAGTACAAATTTGCCAGGGGCCATAGTCCGCAGGTAGGAGGCGGGCAGCCAGGCCTCTCCAATGTCCAGTGGCGAGGCGGGTTCTGCCACAATCTTGCTTATAACTATGACAATAAAAAGCAACACCAGACAGGATTATAAACCCCACTAACTTTATATTGAATAAAATTCAAATAATATATAGATGCCTCCACCAGGCAGGTTCTGTAGGTCCATTTGGTATAGAATATAATGGCAATAGTAAGACTGATGTAACAGCTGGCACCTGACAGCAATCATTGGCAGTAAAAGAAGCAATGGGATTGGCTGAATCATTTAGAATCTTCCAACGATGTTGCCTTGAAGACAAATCGGATAATAATTAGGTCTCTTTGTAATAAGTTGTTACTATAGCTGAGACTTTTTCTGAATCAGTTGTTTGTCCTTAAATTTCCAGTTCGCAGGGTTCACTAGCTGAATTGAAAACAGAATGTAAAATTTTAGGCTCTGTCTACCTCTTGTATTTGTCTGTGTATATTGTACATTCTTCACTAATTGTACAGCGCCGCGGAATCTGTTGGAGCTTTGTAAATATCAGTAATAAATAAAATACATAAAATAAATAGGTGTGGGTTTGACTTATGCACACATGTGGTGTAGCTGGTTCGAATTAATCAAATACCCAATCTACAGCCGAACGAACCAATCTGTCCACAGGCAAGTCTCGGACGGATCAGTTCGTTCATAGACTCAAAGGCATTTGTTTGAACAAGTTGAAACACATTTGTGCATAAGTTTAGTGTGAGTTTCTCCAAATGTGCTATAGTCACACCTTTTATTTTAGTCTTACTTTTGCAGTACAGACTTCAGATCACTACAATTTTGAGTTTAGTGAATAATTCTGTCAATATAATTTTGTGTTTGTAAGAGATAAATCTCAATGACAAACAAATAAATTAAATAAAAAAATAACATAAAGCACAAGAGGCATATAGAACATTCTAGAAAATCCATAATTTTAGTTAATCTCAAACAGCAGCAGACTGCAGGTTCTAATTTATAAATTTATTGACCCTCCTTGCCGTAACAATACTGTCTGTTTCCACCGCAGGCTTTTTGTTTGTACGATACATTGTAAATAATCACATTCCTTCCTCCTCCAGCTCATAGCAATCTGCAGGTCTATAAACTATATTTCCCAGGATGCTTTGCGTGATACATTGCCCTCGACTCATCTGCGTAGGGAGTGAGGAACTAAATAGTCATATTCAGAGGCGGCTCTAGACTTTATGAGGCCTTAGGCGAAACTCAAACAGGAGGCCCGACTAACAAAAAAGTGAGAAAAACAAAATAGAATTGCAATACATACACACTGTCACATATACACATTGATGAACAGTTTACCTGTGTATGTGCCTGAGAGTGTGTCTGACAGAGAGTATCCTTGTGTGTGTGAATGTATATCTCTGTGAGCATGTTTGCGTTTTTGTCTGGGACCCTATGTGTATGGGGTAGCTGCTTGAAGTGTGTTGTGTGTATGGGGGTCTGCCTGTACCCTTTGTGCATTATGTTTATGGCAAACCTATGTTTCTTGACTGTGTGTGCATGATGAATGTCTTCAGCTGGTGACTGTGACAAAGGGGTACCAGTGGCAGGGACAGCGTGACAGGGCGAAGGGAGTGTGACATGGTTTCTCTCTCACAACCCCCCCTCACAATGGACAGGGGGGGTTGTGAGCAAGAATGAGGGACAGGGAGTATGACATGGTTTGATGAGGGAGTTTGACAGGGCGAGTGGAGGTAAGTGTGTCCGGCATGGTAGGAGGGACGATTGTGACAGGATTAAGGGGGGTTTAATGTGACAGGGTGAGTGTGGCAGAATGAGGGCAGGTGAGTTTGAAGGGTGAGATTAACAGGATTAGGAGTGGTTAATGTGAGTGTGGATGCATGAAGAGGCTGAGAGTGTGAGGGGTGATGACAGTGTAGGGAGGGGTGACAATGTGTGGGGAGGTGACAGTGTGAGGGGATCCTAACAGTGTGTCTGTGGAGGCTGTGTGTGTGAGGGGGTGATACTGTGTGTATGAGAGGGTTATGGTGAGAGGGAGAGGGGGGTTATGGTGAGAGGGAGAGGGGGGTTATGGTGAGAGGGAGGGAGGGGGGTGATGGGGAGAGGGGGTGATGGGGAGAGTGAGAGGGGGGTGATGGTGAGAGGGAGAGGGGGTGATGGTGAGAGGGAGGAGGGGGGTGAAGGTGAGAGGGAGAGGGGGGAGGGGGTAATGGTGAGAGGGAGAGGGGTGATGGTGACAGGGAGAGGAAGGTGATGGTGTGGGGGTGATTGTGAGAGGGAGGGGTGTGATGGTAAGGTGGGGTGGTGATGGTGAGGGGGGTGGTGATGGTGAGGGGGGGGGTGAGGGGGTGATGCTGAGCCTGAGGGGGTGATGGAGTCTGAGGTGGGTTGATGCTAAGGAGGGGGTGATGATGCTGATGGAGGGGGTTATGGTGAGGGGGTGATGCTGAGGGAGGGGGTTTGATGTTGGGGGGGGTGCTGTGAGAGGGAGGGGTGTCTGATGGGGAGTGGGGGTAGACAACATACCTTGATTTCCTGATGGTCCAGTGTGGGCTACCAAGTGGTCCAGTGGCCATTACTTCCGGTCTGCAGCTATACAAAAGGCTTCTGTATAGGTGAAACGCGTTAGTGTGTTACTTACTTTTTATTTGTTTAATAAAATTAATCTGCATTGTACCCCTGGACCTTCATTGGACATCTTTTATTGGAGAAGCTGTATCTCACATTGCCGGGTGGGGGACAAACCACCTATGCTGTAAATCCCTATTTGCTCATCCATTGTGAATATATTCCTCTCTTTATTTTATTAGTTTTATTAATACAGAGAACACTATTCCTGTTTTTTTATATCCCATATATATATCAGTGGAGCATCACCTGCCTCTGCTGTTATAGACATAGTACTCTATATTAGTATTCCTGTCCCATTTTGTTTTCTCCCTTATATTGGCTCCATTGGACTCCACACAATTAACTCAGTTGTTAAGCACTGCTTCCCTACATCCCCCGTTTTACTTGCATCAACGACCACAAAGAATAGACTCTGGTTTGTGGAAAGTTTTAGCTGCTGCACACATAAGGAACAAGCGCCAGAAATCTCACTTGCTGCTATATCTTAAGCTCAAAGTTAGCTTAACCCCTTAAGGACCAAACTTCTGGAATAAAAGGGAATCATGACATGTCCTTAAGGGGTTAAAGGGATTGTAAAGGTAAAAAAATAAAAACATCACCCCTCAACAGTAAACCCAGTGTCACTAAAAGCCTTTTCCCTAAATAGTGTAAAAATTAGCTACCTGTTTTAATCTTTACTTTGATCAGATTCTCTGCTCCTCCTCTGATTTCATGTCATAGCTCCCTGTATTTTAGCCAGACTGTCCACCAATTGCCATGCTCCAGTGGTTTTATATGAGAATCAGTAATGACACGCCCACAATGTCTATCCACCAATGGCCATACTCCAGTGATTCTCTATGAGAATCAGTAATGACATTCCTTACCGAGTGTGCCTGAGCTTCACTCAGCTAACACATTCCCACAATGCCTGCCC